AATTATTTTCGTGTTACCTACACTGAAAATACATTTATAAAGCTAGTTATCACTCTCAATCTTAATTTGTGTAAATAGCTTGATTTTTTTATTAGATAATTTATTTTCATACTTCTATTTTAGTACTAATTATTTTCGTGTTACCTACACTGAAAATACATTTATAAAGCTAGTTATCACTCTCAATCTTAATTTGTGTAAATAGCTTGATTTTTTTATTAGATAATTTATTTTCATACTTCTATTTTAGTACTAATTATTTTCGTGTTACCTACACTGAAATACATTTATAAAGTTATCACTCTCTATCTTAATTTGTGTAAATATGTATGAAGAAGAAAATGTTTATGATTCAACGTTGAGGAAGGAGTATGTTTTTTAAACAACCCACCCAAACTTAAACGAGTTGGGTTTGATTTTGCCACCCCTATATATCTATTATTTATGATGAATATATTAACGATCATCAACACGATTCAACCATCCCAGCTTGCTGAAAAACAACGATTTACAACATGGATATATCTAATTTGGAGGAATTAGTGTTTAGACTAGTATTTAAGAAAATTAAATTTAGATATATTATTGATTCAATGTCTTTTTGCTTTGATTAATTCATGAACAGATTTTCATATCTATGTGTTGCAGTGGCTATGTTATTGCTCAGAGTGAAGGCCAGCATAGGGGTACTATGCCTAATAATATGGTATACCTTGTTATGGGGATCATTAGTTTAGTAGCTGTGTTTTTACTTATTTTATACTGGGAGTTACGCGATAGGATTAGGCATGCGGCCCCCTTAAGTCTTTAATTTAATTTCAAAAGACTTAAAACAGAAAAAATCTTTTAAAATTTCAAAGAAAGGGCAATCTGATAATTTAAAATAGTAGCATATGTGTTTATTTCTATTTCACATTATATGTAGCTACTAAGATGTACATAAGGCCCATAAGATGCACGTAAGGTGCACTAGATACACGTGCATATATCTTAAAATGTTGTATTGATTCGTTATATATTTTAGCTGAAACAAATATTTATAGCTATTTGTTACGTTGATTCAATTTTTGCCAAATTAGATAAATGGCTGAATCCTCTTAAACAAGTATTGAACTAATTGTTTTACACCAAGTACAATATTTACATCAAGCTAAGGTTTAAACGACAAGATAGTTGCGCGAAAACTAACTAGCCTAAGCTATGTCAACCAACAAAAAGTGAGAATCGTAGTTGAAGAGCAAAAGAAAAAGGAAAAGAGAAATACTTACATTGTAGGTATAGTAACGATACAATACAATACAATACAATGAGTAACAATGATCCAAACAGAGTGTAATAATCGATCGGTTTGTTGAATGTTATCAATTTAGGTCGGGTATAATATAAGTGCTAATTTAGAGATTAGTGTTAGTAGGGTTGTTCAAAATCGAACCAAAATCGATAACTCGAACCGAAAAAAGTTATTGGTTTATCAATATTGGGTTATTGATTTAGCGGTTTTGACAACGGTTTTGATTTTTTTTGTTATCGGGTTATCGGTTCTGAACGGTTTGAAGCTTTTTCTGAATGGGTTAACCAATAACCCGATAGTAAATTAAATAATTATATTTATACCATGTTGTATATAAAGTCCTTGACTTAGAGTTTGATTTCCTATTTTTATTTTTGGTTGTCTCAAACACTTGGTTATTCTACAATGTAAAAGTGTTTGTTTTTGAGCAAAGATGTGAACTCATGTGCATGGTTCATTTGGTTTGTCACCTTGTTTCTAAGTTATTTTCAATATTTTTTTGTGTTAAATCTTAACAGTTAAACCGATAACGATCAAAAATCGATAAACCAATAACCGATAAGCCAATATCTTAATGGTTCTATAACGGTTTAGCATCTCTACAAACCGATAACCAATAATTAAACATGGAATAACTTTTTTTCCAATCAAACGAATTTTAAGTTTCAAGTCACTATCACATTTGGATGATCTTTAATTTTTATTCCTTAATTTATTTTATTTTGTTTTGCTATTTATAACCAAAAGATTAACCACTATGTTGTAAAAATTTTTTATCTAAAAAGGAATGATATTAGTTTTATATCGTCGAATTTTAATAATTTAATTGGTTGACTGCCTAAATTTTCAAGGTAAAAAATGAGCAACTTTCACATATAGCAAACATAAAAGTCATATTTGTATGTTGTAGCTATAGTTTGCATAATTGCGCTCCAACATAAATATGTATATTTCGCAATACATATACAAAAGAAAGCAGTTGTATAATCTGTTTATGTTTTGGTATACATATACAAAAGATCAATTGTATAATATGTGTTTGTATAAAGCGATTCAAAAGAGAAAGACAAAAGAAAACTGGGCAGGGGAAGATCGTATTTGTATAATCATAAGTGTATAGGACGAAAATATATGCAAGTATATACAATTTTCTCTCGCTTTATACAAA